CCAAAGCAGAAATAATACATTTCTGCAACTGACTGTGAACATGACATGTATATACGAACAACTTGTGAATCTATGTTACATACATTCATTCCTGCACCCCCAATTATCCTAGCCTTATTAGATCTCTAATCCACAAAGCAAGACGTACTTTCTTCACATCCACTCCACCAATACCACCTACACCACTTCATTTTCATTCCCATGTCTAACGAAATCAAAGGCAATAACAGTATTAAGTAAGGTGCAAACTGCTGCTGAGTCTTTAAAGCAGTCTCACAGTTGGCACATTTCTGTTCAGCACCAATTGCACTGCACTATCTGAGCTGCAGTAACAGACGGGATACCAACGCACACGAGACCACGCACAATAGGACAGTGTGAAAGCATTTCCACCTATGTTGTTTTTAATTAAAGATTAATAACCAACAAGAAATAACTATCTGGACATTCCATAGAAAAGGCAGCTGAATGAATTAATTTTAATTGATAGCTTAAAAATTTACTTCAGAAAAATGAATGTTAAAACGGATCATAAAGTATTGAACTCTGAAGTTTGCCAAATTTTCCAGAAACACCTGAACTCTAACGAGCCCTTCTGGAATTGACTTCTAATGAAGAACAGGATACAAAGTGCTTGCCTTCTTGGTGTATTTTCTAAGATCAAGATCACGTCTCTCAAGAACTACGAAGTAAATTAAGGAATAAACACTGTCTGAAAACATTATTCTTTGTCATTCAGAGCTCTTGTCATCTGTTAAATTTAAATCAAATACTACAATAAAAGTTGAATACCCATGGTCTCAGAGCTCCTGATAATGGGCACAGAGATACATGAATGGGACCAAATGCAGCCACAGGCAAAACGAAGCACGTGGTGACTTGTCTGTGCTGTGCCTCACTGCGATCAATGAAATCACCCTTTTTTGTTTTTCAGGTTGTAAATATAAAGAAGTAGCATTCTCATTTTTTCTTTTACTGCGCTGTGCACCAGCCTGCAACAGCGGTGTAATCGGCTGCACGTGCCAAAATACATCTGGACACAGAGGCAGACAAAGGGCTGCTGCTGTAGGTCATGCAGATGTAGGCATGTGGGCACAGAACTGCTTTTGGACGTGATGGCTTCTTAGAATTGAAAGCAACAACAGCAGAGTTGGAGCTGGGGGAGGCGGGGATTGCTCAGAAGCTCCGTAACCACTGCTCAGACAGAGCACAGCGCAGCTAAAAGCCTTGTGACAGCACAAGCACCATATGGTAAGAGACTGACATGAAAGCTCGGGCACTGCCGGGCGACCGTTCTCCCATCATCTCTCTCTCGTGGCTGTCAGCATCTCTACCACACGCTGTAGAACGGGAGGCAAGGAACTGACTGGCGGAGCAGATGGCCCCGCTCCGCTGCGGGACGGCACGCTGACACACGCAGTCAGAGCTGCACACACCAGACCCTCACTGGGACACACGTCCAACAGAAGCACCTCAGCCCTGGGAGCCGTACACTGACTGTTCTCTAAGCCAAACAGTGCTCCTACTCAATTTACACCATTTTCAGGCCCTGTGCACGCAACAGTGCACACCTTCAGTTCCCGCATCTCCACTCTGCACTACATCCTATCTCTGTGTAATTTGTCATGAGCAAAAAAACATTATCTAGGCCTTACTGCCATGTATTTTGGCATGGAATATCTTAATCTGTATTAGCTCTACCTGTATTTCCATTTAATGAAAAACTTACACCTCCAAAACTTACCTAGCCATTAATCTAACCCCCCCTCCCCCTTCCTACCTCCAGCACTTGTTTCGTTTTTTCCCCCACCTCTAAATGAAGGTGTATCGAAGGTCTTTTAGCAAAATGTTAAGAAAAGCAGGTACTGTGAGCTGACGTGTCTGTAACACACAGAAGAGACATACACTACAGTCATCGCCCTTGATAAGATTTTCCATACCCTGCAATGCATCCTTTCTTTACTGGGATCCGTTCCAAAATCTGAATCATCAAGAACAGTCTTTTCTTTCACTAAACACCCTGAAAAATAAAAACAAGCTTCTTTCCTTGTCCTCTGAAAATGGAATCTTTTACCTAACAAATTAGCCTAAAACTACCAGCAGCGCTGAATGAGTGCCAAGTGCCAATACTCCCTGGTTTTGTTGTTTTGTTGTTTTTTGTGATGTCCTGAGGCATGTTTATGTAAAGGAACCCTTCCCAGAGATCCTATGAACAAGCCTGCTGTGACACAGCCCCAGATGGCTCCTACACGTTGCAAAGTCACCTGTATCTCTAGAAGCAATCACACTGGTGTTCTCTGAAGATTAAAGGCATGTACCAAATGTTCTTGCTCATTTGGCACTGTACAGAGGGTCTTTGATTCGAAGAATCTGATCACAATTGCAGAGGCATGCAAGAGGAGTTTCTACAAAATATTAAAAGACGTTTTGAAGGAACCTCATGTTTGCACACTGTATATAAAAAGCAGCCTGTTGCAGATAAGCTTTCTGTTTGGAGAGAAAAAGTGCTCACAACGAGTGCCTACACACAAAAAACGTTAAAATTTAAAACCAGTGGTTTTGTTCAGCAGAGGCAGGAGCCTTGTGAAGAAACTACTGTAAAATTGATCCAAGTCACGAAGGATCCAATTCAGACAAGAAGTTCAAAATCAGGACACTTCTGGCTGCTTAGGCCAACATCACACATCCAGTCTCATAAATTTTTGAGTTAATCCCCTCTGAAGCAACCGATTCACCATCTGAAGATGTATCATGTGTCCGATGTGGATTTCCCTCAGTTAAAAGGCAAAAAGTCTCCTCTGCTGGTGCTGTTAGAAACGTAACCACGGTTTTGTGTTTCATGTACAGAAAACACTTCCATGCAGAAAAGTTAAACATCAGCAGAGATGGAAATACACCACAGCTAACAACCGCAGGCTACTATTACATATACAGCTGCGGAGAAATCGTCTTTAAACTGTCCCACACATGACCTCTGTGCTGTCTTTTGTGCAGTTAGCTATCACATTAACTACCGCTAGTTCAGATTTAAAGAAATTAGACATGACAGCCTTTGAGAAAACAAACGCACCGTGCTGGGTTATCTTTACCTCATCTCCAACACAGGAGTCCCAGGTTTCCACGCGTGAATAATTCTGCTTACCCATTTCCAGTAACAGCAGTGTTATTTGAAAATAAAGAGATGATGGAGGGGAAGAAGGCCAGGTCTTTGCTAGATCACATCACATTTCAGTAACGACTGCACAAATTGCCCACAGCATTTTGAAAAATCCTCAATATTTTTCAGTCTCCAAAGAGCTCCCAGCATCTTTCACTTCTTACAATATTCATAAAGCTGTGACGGCTTTACTTTGTAGAATCACCTTTTAATATTCTTGAGTAATGCTACTCAAAACTTCGTGATGCCATTCCTCTCATATAAAACTGAGAGCCTTTATTTTTCTAAACCAAGATTTAGATGTGTTATTTGTGCATGCTCAAGGTATTATCTGTTCACAGGGCTGGAAAATATACAGCATGAATGCTACCACACACAAATACCTCAGATATGCCAATCTAATTCAGTGACAACAGTGAAAACTACTTCAATCTTTACACCCATTCACTTGCATCTTCAAATGGCATCCTTTGACTTCCCTAATTTACCACCTGGTAGAACTTTGAAAGACAAAAAAAGGGGTGAGGGGAAAACAAACCAACCAACCAACCGAAAAACCCAACAAACAATACATCTCCAAAACAAATAGGCTTCTTCTTACTTTCTTAGGCTGACTAGAGAACCCCATTAAGGAATTCATGTGTACCCCACCTTGCTTTTAGAAGATGGAAAACAGCTTGTGAAAGTATAGAAAGCTAGGGATCAATCCAGAAGAATATGTAAGCATATTATAGTCCCATTGACTTCAATTGCTTAAGTGATTTGTTGGAGCACAGCCAGTACAACAGTGCCTTGCAAGAGCAAGGCCGTTAAGAACAGTCAGCAGTTTCCTTCTGTGGGCTGTGGGGGTCTGCTTGCAGGCTAAGTTTTTAAAAACAACCTCCTTCTGTCTTTGAGTGCCCTCTATGGATTTAGGACAGCACACAAGGAAGGCTCATGAAAAAAATTTTAGGAGACTGTGATTAAAGAAAAAAAAAGACATCTGCTCCACCCACAACACATTTGTTAAATTACAGCATATATTAACAATTCTACGGATACCAATGCAGTATCAGTTACCCACTGCTGCAAGAACAAATACTCGATTGTGCTCCTGCACAATACGTAAGCACTGCTGTTGCTAGACCGGTTCAGAATGAATTTTCCCTTTATTAGAAAAAGTAAGGTAATCTGCTCTCCTTTGTAACTCCAGCCACGCAGAAGAGAGGAGACTAAAGATAAGAAAGTGTGTTTAAGAGAAGTATGCCAAGTCAAGGGAAATGATAGAGGGATTGCACTTATACACTTAAAGCAAACAATTGCAAAATCAGGACTGTACATTAAGCCTAAGGAGAGGCGATAACAGCACACGTCTGGGTGTTTGCCCTCTGAACGACATACTCATATTTTCCTTTAGGAAGCAAAGACTTTGGTACTTGAAAACAAATCAAAAAAACTCCAAACTGCAAAGAAAACACAGAAACTTTTACGCCTCCCCCACCCCTTTCTGAAGCTGACGCACACTGAGGATCCATGCATCACATAGATCATACGGCTTTCCCAAGATGCTTTGTCAAAAGGTCCAGATATTAACATGTCCATGCTGTGAACTGATGTGTTATATTATAACAGCTCTCAATAAAGTGAGTATGGATTTACACATTAGACAATAACAGCTCCAAAAGGAGCTGTTAAAATACCACTGAATAAAAGCACACTTAATGTAGACATTCAATGGACTGCAAGAACGGATACCTAACAAATACTGTAAATGCATGTAACTGTAATTACTAATTCTAAATCGTACCGAATTTTTGTCCACTAGTATGAGAAGTAAAAGAGATAAATCATTGAGTGTCCTTACCAGAACTACTCTCTGAAACCCCACAAAATTGTGATGTGGCAGCAGTACAGCCCCTGGTATTACACCACCTGTAACACAAACCATATTATGATAGTTTCTATCAATACTTATTTTAACACATGATAAAAGGATAAAAGCTATTTTCCCACCAGTCTTTTTAGAGAAAGCATTAAAATAACATTCAGTTTCCTGCGGATCATAATATACTTTTATGCAACAAAAACAAATAAACAAAAAAATTAAAGACCATCTTTTTGGTTACTCACATGGAACATGCTTTAAAAAATTACAATTTTACTCTCTTCTCACCCTTAGTTGATGACAGAACCCCAGCACAGAACAGAGCATTTGCTTCAGTGGAATTTCTCTTCTTTCTGTCTGCTCATACAGACAAATGGGAACTTTGAGAGGATCCAGCTTACGAATGGCACAGTACTGATGTGGCGGCTTTATTCAGCCTTAGCCCAAGTATGCAACTACAATATTTCAGCAGTAAGACGACAAATAGGAAACACAAGGCCTCTACCAACCCACCGAGTGCTTCTCATAACTGACTACTGCAGAACGAAGTTTAACATCAGCCAATTAAGAAGAGCAGTTCTATGGAAGAATCCTTAGGATACCCTCACAGAGTTAATTTCCACAAGCGACTTCAAAGCTTAACCGCTCCCTAGGACTTAAGTACATTATACACCTGTGATCAGAACAATTACTGATCACACCTTTATGTAACACAGAGGTTCCTACCACGGATATTCATTACAGATGAAATCACTGGAGAGAAATCTAACATAAACTAAGGGATTAAGGAGAAAGGCTTGGAGGTAAAAGAGCAGGAACACTGCCTGGGCACAGCAACAGAAGAATCACCCATCCAAAAAAATGCTGTTTGAAGCAAAATGTTGTTCGTGGAACAAAAAACCTCTCCCAGATGGATGAAGATGAGGAAAATAGCAATTTTTTTTTTTTTTTCTAAATAATAACTCCCACCATAAAGGCTGACAAATGCGCTACAGCCGACATTCAAACTTTCCAAATACCTCCTTAAAACCAGGGCCAAACCCAAAAAAGGCAACTCGTGCCTTCAACAGCAGTCAGCACTACAAATTCACATCACTTTCAGACTCTATGAACCCCTCCAATACTCTATTACCAAGTTACCCAGATGGGTGAGAAGAGATCAGCAGCTTCCTAACAACGCACATCAGTTCATTCCTTACTACCCCTGCCATTTCTTGGAAAACCCCTCCCATCCACCAACCTGGATTGGCCAAGTGCCCCACTCCCTCTCTGTAGCAACACGCACAGACGCAGCTGAAGCTGAAAGGGAGGTCCTGACCTATATCCTGTAGTTACAATTCCCTGCTCAGATATTATACGCTACTCTTGATCACTTCCTGCAAATTTAAGCATACATACCAAGTGCATTGATAACACTGAAACGTAAAAAATTAAAACAAAGAAACAAAAAAACAGATGCAAAGTTGGAAACTCTTAGAACATTTTAACTGCAAGATACGTGATGGTGCAAAAGATTGTTTCCCCGTTCACTGCAGGCGAGTTGGACTAGGTGACCTCTAAGGGTCCCTTCCAAATGAAATGATCAGCACATGGGGCTGCTGCCATGCAGCCTGAGCTGGCAGGAGGGAATGATACGTTTCAATATTTACATGCTTTGAACTTCTTGCATTCTGCATTAAGCATTTATCATTCACTCAGAGCACACGCTGTTTGAAGTAACTAATTGATATTACCCCCAAAATGATGCCAAATAGGAGAAAGAACAAGGAGGCCCTAAAGGAAAGCAGTGCACTACCACATCCTGAACAGAAGCCAGTTCAAGAGGAATTCCTTTCCTCTCCTCAATTCCCCACAGAGCGCACATAAAAGCACAACACACACCGAACACCAGAAGCTCGCTGCTCTACTAGCCTCCTCTACAACAACAACAGGAAATCTGCTTACAGTTAACTAATTTGCCATGGGATGGAGAGGGCTGAGAGGGCACACGGTGAGAATTAAGCACAGGGCCCAGCCCACCTGGCCCTTTGGGTGACGAAGCACCCGCACTGGCATCAGAGAGACCGAGCATCTCGCTGCTGCCTTCATCTGCATCACACGGGAACCCCCAAGTCACAGACACCCTGGAAACAACTGGAGCAGGTTTCAAATTAATGACTACAGTAAAATTTATGGCATGTCCTGCAAAGCCTTGCATATGACACAGAACAGATGCAGGGCATCGGCACGGGCTGCCCAGGGAGTGGTGGTCACCGAACCTGGAGGTGTTGAGCAATGGCAGAGATGTGGCACTGAGGGATGTGGGCAGTAGTTGGACAGTCAGACTGCCTGATCTCTTAGGTCTTTCCTAACCTTAAAGCTTCTGTGACTCCACTTTTAATTGTGCTCCTTGCTAAAATGGAGCACGTCACAGGGTGGAACTTCCCCTACTAGATTTAACCTTCAGAGCTTCGTTCTGGCAGCAATGCTGGGGCTGGTTTGTAGTTGCACGTGTTGTCTTTTATTTCTCTTTCCTAGCAGATGCCTTGCTTGAAATATCTCAGGGAAGCTGGAGGAAACACATCATAAATAAACTAAACCACAGATCTACAATCTTGTTTAAAACAACAACAAAAACGCTTGGGAGGAAGGGAACAGCTAATAAGGTGGCAAGGAAAAAATAATCAGCCTCAGGGAAAGGACAGGGACAGAAAATAATGCAAAAATGTGGATGCTCTGAAAACCCAGCACTTCACGTGACTCTAACTGGCAACCTTAATGATGGGATCTGTTACAGAAATGCTCACCGTACAAGAATTTGTGCCTTGTGAGCTGAAGATCTTTCTCTCTGCAGTTTAAAACACCTGTGTATTTTTAAACTGTATTTATTTCTTTTATATATATAAGTAGTACACATAAGAAGTACTTCTTTTATATATGTTTATTTATATATATATATATATATATATATATATATATATATATATTTTCCACATTTCACAATTAATTACAGAGGGTGTATTTTATCAAACTACTGACACCTCCAGTGATGCCCAGTGTAAATACACAATGCACCGTTTTGGCAAAGGACAGCTATGGATGTGACAAATGATAAACCAAAGTTGATAGTGCAGTACATGGAAGCAGCAGGAGGTGCCCCAGGGGCTGCCAGGCTGGGTCACCCCACTGCTAAGGCTGCTCCCAGCTCAGCCATGCTCCGGGAGCACCTCCCTGCTCTATGGCACTGGCACCTATTCATTCATATCACTGTTTTGGTTTTTTTTTTTCCCCACCACATTTTAGTTTTGCTAACTAAAAGAAATACAGGGAAAAAAGTGTGTCTTGCATTTCTCTAAATGAAAGGAACACAGCTTGCCAAAGCAGTCTGAATATCCCTTAAAAATCATACTTTTGTGCACAACCCTCTCAAGCTCCTGGGTAGTCATTTCCACTATGGATTCTCCGTGACCATGAATTATAACCAAAATCCTTAGTAACGTTTGGATTTGGGTTTTCTTAAGTCGATGCAATTTTGCTTTTAATAATCAAAAACAAAATGAATTTTTAACAAACAAATAACATTTCTGAAAAAACTGCCTGGGGTTTCGTTTGTTTTGATATTAAATCATGTATACTTGGAAAGAAAAAAACAGAAGTAAATCATGTGCTCATAAAAAGCACTGATGTATAAATTGAACGTGGCCCATGAGGGAGAGAGAAATTATCCACTTTAAAGAAGTATTGTTTACTGCTTTCTTCCCCACTGGAGTGCCTGCTAATAGTATTTGCTGTTGTTTTCTTACTGTGTGATGAGTATGGCTGTAACTAAAATGCTGCTAAGGCGATGAAATGCGTGTGTACAGAAAAGGAACACAGGATATGCTGACATTATATAAAAAAACTATCTTGAACTTAGAGCAATGGATGTATTTTGAATATTCAGAATGCCCAACGCACAAATGAGCCCTTATTTTCGCACTGACCTATGAGAGCAGCGTAACTCCTGGGCTGATTTCCCTCTGTTTGCATAAAACCAAACGTTATCACAGTGAGATCTGATCTGCTCGCTGCCACTTACTCCCTCTAATCCCTCTGTTTCAGAGACCATCCAACCAACAAATGTTACCAGCAGAAAAACTGAAATTCAAGTAACGCATTAACAAAATAAGGGCCGGTTCATCTGTAACAATGAGACTTCCATTTTGTCCCTACAAACAGCATTACAGATTCCCTTTGGCCACAGAGATTTTTTAAAAAAGGGAAGGGAAGGGAAATAAAAACAAAATCCTAACAAGAGAGGTGGTTTAAGAAAATCAAACTCCTGGGTTGAAAAACTCAGAGTCTCCTAGAACTGCTCCACAAAACACAAGCAAATCTCCTTAAGTATGACTGTGCTCACTCTTAACTATTTTGCTGTAATTCCACAGCTTCCAAAGAGCACAAACCAGCAATGCCTGAGTCGCTGTTGGGTTGCTGCCGGCTCTGATTGATCCCTTCCATTCACACTGCAGCAGAGGCTGAGAAACAGCCAGGGCTGAAGTTTCATCACCGTAAGTTTCATCACCGTAAGTTTCAAGTCTTTGGGTCAGTAACGATACTGAAGTAACAGGCAGGAAAATATTATCTTGTAAGCTTCTAGCCCAAAAATCCAGAATTTTCCATAAAGCTCCCCAGGACCAGGATGATCAGACACAGACTGAACCGCCAATGACAAGTAAAGCTTCACAGTTTCACATCCTTAATTGTAACAGTACTACAGAATGCTACTTGTTAGCAAAACAGTTATTCCAGGTTCTGACAACGAAATGATAAAGTTTAAGATCTTTATCTGTAGAATATTAACGTGCTCTGACCACCCCAAGGCAATATCCCAAGTGAACACGTCGCTCTTCTCCTCTTTAATCACTGTCAGTTCTGTAATCCATCAGTTCTGCACTTTAAGAAGCCGTATATTACCAGAGTAGATGGCATTTTCAAAGCCCAGTGATGGTGTTCAAAAATTCTAAACCTGAGTAGCTGCTGAGGGCACACACGGAGGCAGCGCACACATCTCCATGTGCACTGATGG